CCATCCATCCATCCATCCATCCATCCATCCGTCTGTCCACCCGTCATCCTTCATCCCGCAGGTGTTCGCTGGTCACTACTGAAGGGCCCTTGGGCCCCAGGCCCACCCTCCAGTTGAGTGTGTGGCTGCGTGGGTCTGACTTCCCTTCTGACGAGCATCTTGCTTGCCCACGTCCACAGGCATCGGCTACGCCTCCATTGTGATTGTGTCGCTCCTGAATGTCTACTACATCATCATCCTGGCCTGGGCCACATACTACCTGTTCCAGTCCTTCCAGTCCGAGCTGCCCTGGGCACACTGCAACCACAGCTGGAACACCCCCCACTGTATGGAGGACACCATGCGCAGCAACCGGAGCCAGTGGGTCAGCTTCAGCGCCAGCAACTTCACCTCCCCTGTCACCGAGTTTTGGGAGTAAGCCTGGGCTCGCTGCTGGGAGGGGGGCGCGTGGGGGCTGGAGGACAGGTGTCCGCCTGCACTTCCCGAGGGCTGTGGGGTGGTGGCCGGGAGGGTCAGTCTCAGACAGGCCTGGATCGAATCCTAGCTCTGCCGTTCTCCTGGCTGTTGATGTTGGCAAATCACTGCCCCCCTGGGCCTCAGTTTCTTTAACTGTCAAATGAGGAGAGCGAGCCGCCCCTGTGCCCATGGGTGGGACCTGTGATGATGGCTTTCCAGAGGCAGGTATTTATGTTGTCTGGAAATGACTTAGTTTGCTTAATTATCTATTTTTAAAAATTTATTTGTATATGTATTCAAGAGCTGGGGTCAGGCCAGAGGTGCAGGAGGAGAGGACTCACCAGAGACAGTGGGGAGCTGAACTGGCAGAGCCACTGAAGTGCACTGCTGAGGGGAGACAGGCGAGGTCTGCTGCCCCCTGTGGGTCAGCTCCCCGGATTGAGCACTTGCAGCAGTGGCTGCCGGTAACTTAACCCCTTGCGCCACCCAGGAAGCCCTGCCTAATTATTTTAGAGAAAAAATGAAGCTGGCACATTAAAATTGTTGCTGCAAAGAAAAACGCATAAATGAAGCTGAAGTAGTTGCTCAAGGGAAAAGGCTGGTAGACAGATCCGAAGATACGCGTCAGTCAGCTTTCGCTGCATAACAACAACTCGCAGATGTGGCACTTGCACAGCTGGTCCTTTGGCTCCTGGTTCTGGTGATTGGCAGCATGGCTGAAGCCTGGCTGGGCAGCTCTTCTGGCCTTGACTGGGCCTTCTGTCAGGCAGCTCTTCCAGGGTTGGGCCAACCGCTGGCCAGGGTGCCAGGGGCAACTGGTGCCCGTGACCTCAGCACCCAGCGGGCAAGCCTGGGCTTGTGCGTTGGTGTCTCTGCTTTCCAGAACAACCAGGGGAAGCCCCAGCGTCCATTTCGTTACTGTCCCACTGGCCTAACCCAGCGTCAGGAGGGCGGAATAGGCTCTGGGCTTGCATGGAAGGAGCAGAGAGTGGGGAACACGATTGCAATCGCCGTGGTCGGCTCTCAGTAGCTCCAGGAGGCCACACCCAGGCAGAAGACACAAAGGCAGACCGAGGCCTGCCGTGGGGTGACTGTCGCTGAGCCCTCGGATGTGCCGGCCCTGGGCTCTGTGGGCGTGGGTGTGGCCCCTCTGATCCAAGACTAGCGGGGAGCTGGCCTGGCCTGGAGGTGGCGAGCCGGGGCAGGGACACTGTTAGGGAAGGGGGTCCCCGATCGCATGAGATGAGAACGCCCCTGCCTCTCTCGTGTGTGCCTTTGCCACCGCCAAGGCGTCTGCTCCACCGCTTCGAGCCCGGCCAGGGCGCGGCAGGCCCGCAGGAGAGGAGGAGCCCTGAGCGCGCCCGCCGTGCTTTGGGGCCGGGGCTGCGGACTAGCAGGCAAGAACGGGTGTGGGGGTCCTCATCCCTGTGCTGACCCGGCGGTCAAGCGCGGGCCCCCAGGCCCACTCGGACTGAGGCTCTTTCTGTGTGCATGTTCGCGCTGTAACAAAGAGGGCATTGCCCGCAGGCGTCACCGCGAGCTCCCGCCCTGGGCAGCGCCGAGTCTACAGACAAAGAAGTGTGGGCACTTCATTCTTCTCACTTGAATGGGGCCTGAGACCACAGCCCTGTCCTTTCTGTGCTCTCCTGGCACGGCCTGACCACCCAGGGCCTGCCCCACCCAAGACGCTGGCGTCCACCCAGCCACTCCGGCGCCTGCTGGGGGCGTTGCCTCCGCCCCGCTGCCGGCCCAGGCTCGACCCTCGCTGCGGCCCTGATTTGGAGGGCCTGTCTCCTGGGCCTCAGAGTGCTCTGGGGCCATCCTGGCACTGCCCTCAGGGTTGTAGGGTTGCCCCAGCTGGCAGTAACCAGGCAGGACCTGCCTGAAAACCTGCTCAATAAATGTGGGTCATTGTTAACTGTCCTTGGGGTGGATGCGCACTTAACAGCTCTGGCTTCACTGCCTCCCCTCCCCCCTTCCCTCCCCCTCTCCTCCCCTCCCC